CCCCTTCCGCTCTTGTTCCCGCCCCTGGAAAATGATTTGTTTTCTTAAATTATACATTTCGCTTTTTAGCATCTTTTCTTAAACTTCTGCCGGTTTGTGGATGGAGTCATGGAGCTTCTACGTACTTTGCAGCGCGGCTTGTTCTTTTCAAAGGCTGCCCCCCCATCCTCCAAGTACAAACACACACACACACACTTTCTTTGGCAAACGACAATGGTCCTTTTTAAGGGAAGCTCAGCTTGGATAATCCTCCTTTTCTGGCTGAAGGGTAAGTGTGTTTTCCCACTGTTCCTTCTCTAACTTATTTCTATTAATTCTGCTTATCAGTAAGACGAAGCACAAATGAAATATTTCCCCTTTCAAAGAATTCTGTTTGGTTTTATTTCTGCAGCGAGACCTCTGGGTCTTTTGTTGTGAATTGGGTCCCCCTGGCAACGTAGAGACTTTGGGGTCCGTGTGGCTGCTTGGATGAGAGGAAACCCGTGCAGGGGAAGTTCTAGGAAAAGTCACGCAATGCTGCACCCTGAAAACGGCAGATTTTAAACTAGCCCATCGAAGTCTGCAGAGTCGGTGGGGGACACTCGATCTGAAATCCAAACCAGTCATGAAATCTGGACGGACTTCAAGGTCTCAAGCTGGCTCACCTTTAAGAAAATTATAACAATCAAATACAATAACTCCTTATAACGGAGCCCCAGCTACCTAGGAGAAAGGTTATCCTGGCTGTGGGACCCAGTCAAAATTAGCAAAAATAAGGAATAGTTTAGCTAAGAGAGCCTAACGTTCTCCAGCAAGAGCTATCTACGGCATTCATGATTTAAGTTTGCAGTACTGCCCCCTCCCTGCCAGCAATCAATGAATTTGTATGACCCCTTCCCCAAATATTGTAAAACGAATGAGTTCATTGGAGATAACGTTAGACAAGAAACAAATACCCCACCTACTTTTAATAATTAAATTTTAACCTATATATCACAGGGATTCCCAACATTGGCGGTAGCACGTCTCTGCTCTGTGCATGCGCAGGGAAAGCTCGGGCACGCTTTGACACGTTTGGCCCCTCTGCTTGTGCAAGGCAGATGCAATTTAAAAAGAAAAAATTGTGGCTGCCCCCCTTCCCCACTATGTTGCTTGTGAACTGGAGGTGTGGGGCGTCCTGACCACAGCCTGAGAGCTCGCACCGTAGGATGAAACCAAGGTGAGAGCTGGTGCTGACCGGGGTGACCGCAGGGTATGGTCAGCAAGTCAAAACGGGGGTCGTGAGGATGCCTTTGAAATTTTGCTGTTCTTTATGTGTGATGCAAACACGCATACAGGATTTTTAAAGACGCTCTTGGCCTGGTTTGGAAGGACATTGGTCAGAGGAATAAATCGTAGGTGGCAGGACCCCCCACATGAATCGAAGCTGGTGTGTTTGGGGAGCTGTGGGGGGCGCACCTGCCCCTGGTGCAGCCTCGCTTCATTCTCGACAGATGGCTTGAGACTGTCTGCAGCAATTCCTTGCTTCCTCCATTATTCACAAATAAAATCCTGGAGTGGTGCTTCTCAACCTTGGCAACTTGAAGATGCGTGGACTTCAACTCCCAGAATTCCCCAGCCAGCATTCTGGGAGTT